AACGGTATAGCTCAACTGTCATTGACATTAGATTTTAAGCTGAAATTAAGGTGTCAAATGCTCATTTATTCTTGATTTATTTTTCCAAATTAAGAAATAGACTTTAAAAAAAGGTGCAACAATTAAGGTGGAAATAAGAAAAGTGAATTTGTTGATGGTAGCAATATAGAAGTTAAATGTGAAATCAAAAATATAAAAAAACATATACGAATAAATATTAAAAAAATACTTTAAAAACTGATAAATCGTGGATAAATAAATTTTGTGCGTAAATTAAAGTGCTAGTAGTTAAGTACTTATTCTTTTATTGTTCAAACGAAGAATATTACATTAAATGACGTGCAACAGTTTTGGTGGACATTATGATTTTTTTTAAAAAAAAATTGTTGCGGAAGGATTTATGTTGGACATTTAGTTGATTGTCCGAGACTTATTTTTATGTATTTTATTATAATATACAGTCTCATTGCAGGATAGTTTTGTTATTTTTTTTTAAGTGTAGATTATCTACACATTACTGATCTACATGTGTATCTATCGCTAAATAAACAACGGAACCATCTTGTAACGGGATTGTAGCATTTTCTAATTATTTATTTACATTTTTTGTTCTTACGACCCAAGTGCACATTTTCCATTGAAAGAGATAAATGAAGATTTTTTATTCGTTATTTAATTGATTTTGTAGTTTGTTTGAAATAAAATATTATTGTTTTAATTTCTTTATAGCTACGTATAACATTAAAGAAAGTTCCGAAAGTAAACAACCGAATTCGGTTAAATTAAATCGGTCGGATAAAATTTGCTAATATATGATTTTAATCCAAGAATTAAAATAAAAATAAAATAAAGTTAGGTGTGAGAAAACACAAGTGCCCAAAATTAGATAAGAAGCTAAGAGATTACATTACATATAAAAGTTGAATAATATTGATTGTAACGTGTAATGAAAAGCAGAATAAAGTGAAAAGAAAAAAAATATTAATGATTGAATTTTTGTAATAGAAATTGGAGGGAAATGAAAATATTTTTATTAATCTTTTTTAGCAATTATATATATAAATATAGATAAAATTTAAAATGCATCATTTTTATTATTATATATATACATTATTATATTAATATATATTATTTTTATTTGTAGTAAGAATTAAATCTTTAAGGAAAAAAAAAAAACAATTCCCACCCCATTGGGTTTTTTTACCAAAAAAAAATCAAAACTTAACTTGCAGACAAAAAAATGTAGGAAAAAGTGGGGGTGGAAAGAAATGAAAAGCACGTATTCAGTGAATACGTTTTCTGCAATTTTTAATTGTAAAACGTATTCCGTGAATACGTTTTCTTTTGTAAAAAAAATGTGAAAAACGTATTCCTTGAATACGTTTTACAGTGAAATTATAAAGAACACATATTTAGTGAATACGTTTTCTTGATTTTGGTCCACTCCCCCTTTTTCTTTTTGTTTTTTGTCCACTTACTATTTTTTTATTAATAAATATATAAATTACCCCACCTCATTGTCATTGGCTAATAAATAAAAACTGAGCAAGAAGATTTGACTGGCAACTAGCCTGCAGAAAAATTCACGCAGACTCTCCGCTTTTACGCGTGAGAGCATTTTCTTCAACTGCCTATACATCTCCATTAATACATACCAACTTTCAGAGCATCTTCAACTACCTGGTCCTCACCCTCACCGGGCCCCGCCGCTTCCCGTCATTTTCCGCGCAGGTTTGCTTCATTTTTTCTTCTCATAGACGGAGGTCAACAGTCACTGACCGTGAATTTCACCGGAATTCGACTTGCTTGCTGTGCGAAAGTGAAAATGTGAGTGGTAATTGCGAATCTGTTTTTCGAATTTCGTAAGTTGTCGAGTTATCACTTGTTCGTTTTCTTTGTTGATTGGAAGAGATTTTATTTATTTTTATTTTTTTTTTAATTTTTTGCGAGAAGATGGGGAAGAAGAAAGTGATGCTGCCGGCGGATGAAGTTGACTTGGCTACTGTGAAGTACCAGTATGAGAAAATTGAAGGTGCGATCGCCGATCAGCCGTGTCTTGCCTTTAATTTTCTGTTTTTAATTTTAATTTTTTGGCTCTGAAAATTGATTTTGATCGATTATTTCGAGTTTGCAGCTCCACATTTGACTGGATTTTGGTTGAATTTCTTTGTGAAACTGCTTGAGGCTCCGCTAATTGGGTCGTTGATTGTATCTCACCTGAAGAAAGAGAATAAAATGATTGAGGTGATTTTGCTTTTTTTTTTTTTGCATTTATTTATTTTTTCCTATTATTTTATCTTTGCAAACTTGAGTCTCAACTGTTATTAGATTCTCAATGCTTGTAGATGCTGAGGAATACAGTGATACCCGAGGCACCAATGTTCAAACCTGAGTTTCCACCTCAAGGTGTAGTTTCATACTCCTGTATATATGAAATTTTCAAAGCTTTTAAATCACTAATATACTTTAATAGCAAAAAGTATATCCATAATGTTGATTGCATATTTGCTACGGATACTGGGGAAAGAAGGAAAATAAGAGGAAGTGAGGCTACAAAACTATGTTGTTTTTCTGAACTAGCTTAAATCATTTTTGGAACTTAGCCCGTCATAGACTAGTTTTCAAAGGTTTATGTCCTAGAAATGACTGCGTGGTATATTCCTTCTATTAGAGACTAGAATCTAGATGCAGTGAAGGAAATCCTATCTACCTGCTGGGCGTCCTTTACAGTCTCATTGGAAGAGCCTTTGATCTTTGCCTCTGAAACTACGGAAACTAAAAATGGCCAAAATTTTTTAGCTTTAGGATTTGCCGAGTTAGCCGTTACAACTATTCTCATTTATTGAATTGGATACATTATCCAACTCAGAACCAGAAGCTGAAGTTGTACTTGTGAATGAGGATGGGAAGGCTGAAGAAAGAGTTGAATTAGCGTTGAAGCTTCTTCCAGACTACGACCCCTCCAAGAGTTGGACGGCTGATTCTTTATTACCTTTCCGATATTGGAAAATTAGAGATTATGCATATGCATACAAATCTAAGCTCGTGACCCCATCTATAGTAAGCTGATGTAAAGTGACATCTCTTATTATCAATAGGAATTATTTTATTGATAGAATTCTCTCTCTGTCTCTCTCATAATGAAGGTTGCAGAAAGGTTTATTTCAGCTATGGATGAGTTCAACAATAAGAAGCCTCCAATGCCTTTGTTGATTTCCTATGATCCTGAGCTAATAAGAAAGCAAGCTGCAGCTTCCACCCGAAGGTTCGAGGAAGGTAAAAGTCTTTCTGGTCTAGATGCATTTTGTTAGCGTAACCAAAATTAGTTACTAGATGATTGTGTCATGCAGGGAACCCGATATCAGTCCTTGATGGAATATTTGTCGCAATCAAGGATGATATTGATTGCTGTCCTCATCCCTCAAAAGGTATTTAGCTGCATCATTGGACTCTTATAAAGCAATCAGAAAAATTGATGAGCGCTTCATGACCAACAGGAGGAACAACTTTCTTCCATGAGGTTCGTCCTGTGAAAGAGGATGCAGCGACCGTTGCAAGGTTACGTAGCTGTGGTGTGATCTTGGTTGGAAAGGCGAATATGCATGAATTAGGCCTGGGAACAACTGGAAACAATCCTAATCATGGGTAATCTTGCATACATCCTTATGATGGGATGACACTGCTCTGCTTATATGATGTACGGCAGCTATAAAAATTTACTATCTTATTGTTATTCTCGTTCAATCATTTGAACATTCTTATGGTCAAATCACCAATGACTTAAATATTTAAGTAGCTTGTAACAAGTGTTGAACGTGGAAGGATTATCATATAGAGAATTTATGTCACAGGCATGGTAAATAAATCTCCCTCGATGTTTTGATGTCAAAGACATGATAGTGGGACACTTTCACAGTACATTGTGGTATTTTCAAAGAGTTAACGTAAAGTTCAAGTGCATATTTGAAATTGGCCTCTCATTGCTTAACGTAACCTGTTCTTAGAAGAGAATTTCTTCACCTTTTCTTCTGTAGTACCACTCCATGTATGCCTTTCCAAGAGAAGACGTGTCAACTTGAGAAGTTTGGGACAGTTTGTTTTACTAATATAGCTAGTTCTTTTGCTAATTCGATTGAATTTATTCATAGTGTTATGTATCCTAAGGCTGATATGCATATTTACGATTGGAAAATTGGAGAATGACACGAGCATAGATGAGATTCATAAGTCAAATACTTTTTCTTCTTGGTGGAGTCAGGAGTCCATAGCCATTAATTCCTATATAAGAATTCATTTTCCTGCATGCAGTACAACAAGAAATCCACATGCTCCTGAAAGATATACTGGTGGATCATCTTCAGGCCCAGCAGCAATTGTTGCTTCTGGATTGTGTTCAGCTGCATTAGGAACAGATGGGGGAGGTTGTGATTTTGTTATACAACAGGCTTGTAAATTATTTTCAGGTGCCAATACTATTTTCTGATGTGTTAATTATTTCACAGGTTCTGTACGTATTCCATCCTCTCTATGCGGTGTAGTGGGGCTGAAATCGACATATGGAAGAACTGATATGAAAGGGTTAGCTACTAAAATGTTGATGTTACTTTCCATCTCGTTGTTGAGACACCACCACTTAGTACCTTGCTTCAGATATCACATGTAGTTCAGTAGCATGTCAATCAAGTATTAATTAGTATGATAAATCTTTACATACATAGACAATTGTCTAAGTCATGGCTCGTCTTTTATTGCTTTTAAGCATAAAAAGCAAACTGGTAAGGTGTATACACAAGCTTAAACCCCTTATTTTCATCATATGTGAATGAATAGTTCCTCTCCGGGGAGTAATGGAAGTTGGAAATAGTTTTGAGTGCTGGCATATATTTTACATTAGAGGAACAAGTGTACTCACTATAAACAATGAATCAATTCTAATTTAGGGTTTTAGAGCTCTGATTCAGAGAGTACTTGAACCGACTATAAACAATGAATCAATTCCAATGTAGGGTTTTAGAGCTGTGATTCAAAGAGTACTTGAAACGCAAATGATAATTTGTTTAATATTTCTTAAACATGAATACAGTTAGTTCATCTTTCTCTTTAATTCATAGGAGATCTGCATGGCATGATTCATCAGTAGCCGGCAATAAACTCAACATCCCCGCTACAGATATATTTGTTAATTTTTTTTATTTTTTTTTAATGTTGATTCAGGTGTTCTGGTTCTCATTGCATCATGTGATATATCAGAATACCATCATTTTTTTATTTTTATTTTTCGGTTTATTTAAGCCAGAATTCTTTTCATCTTGGGGCAACTCACTTTTGACCCGTGAAAATTTCTTTTTGGCAGCTCAATATGTGATTCAGGAACAGTAGAGATTATTGGTCCCCTTGCATCTAGTGTTGAGGATGCCTTACTTGTGTAAGTAGTTGTGCTTTACATATCCTATGCCACTTTTTTTTTTTTTTTAATCCTGTCTTCACTTGTTTTCATGGTACACTTTCTGTTCCGGTTTTAACTATTTTGTAGTAGCTGTTACCTTTTTGGTTTCTCTTTCATGACTTCTTGATTATACATAGTGCGCATTCATGTGCATGAAGTTACTTGTCAAGTGTGATATTTATATGTTGTAGCTCTTTGTTTTGCCACTTTATTTTTGTTTCTATGCTGCAAACCACATCCTACAAACGGGAATTCTGTATATGTTTCTGCATATTTCAATTATTGGAAGGCACACCTATCAGAAACAAATGGTGTTTGAGATGAGTTAATTCAATTTCCCTAACTGCGCACTGCCTGTGTTCCAGTTTTCCGTTGTGAACTGATGGGCTGATCAGTTTAAACTTTATTACACCCCCCTCCCCCTCTCTCCTAAAGTTTGTGTACAACACTTAGTCTGCTTTGCTGGCAAAATTATCTGCTTGCATGATATGAAATAGGAATATGAATGATTGAAGCAGTCAAACAATGTCCATTTCTTACATGTTTGAACTAACTATATGTGCGACTAAGAGGATAAGATGCTGGCCGTGTTTTCAGGTACGCAGCAATTTTGGGATCCTCAATTGCTGAAAGAATCTCCATGAAACCTGTAAGTTTTTTAATATCATGGTACTCCTCGTTTTACAGTTCTAATAGACTTTCATCAAGCATTTATCATTGTCAATCATGCATGTCAAGATAATGAGAGGAACCTAACTCTCAAAAGTTGCTGAACCCTAAAATAAGGATGTATATTTGGCCTTACTTGTGTCTTTGCAGTCTCTCCCTTGTTTACCCAACTTAACTTCACACAAGGGTCCAGACATCCTTGGATCATTACGACTAGGCAAGTATACAGAGGTGACCACCTGCCTCTTTCCAAAGATAGTTTCACCTCCCAATTTCCCAATATCATTTAATGAGTATGATATGCCTGCAGTGGTTTAATGATGTATTCTCTGCTGATATCACCGTTAAGTGTGAGGATGTTCTAAATCGTTTATCCGAAGCACACGGATGCAAGGTATGATATCCATACTATCTGAATAATAAGTATCTGGCATTGTAACTTGTAAGAACCACACAGCAGCATGAGTATGTATCTCTAGTCCTAAAGTTCATGCTTTGGGTTTCTTCCTCTTGATGGGAAAAGACAGTGGAGATTGTTATACCAGAGCTTCATGAGATGCGCACTTCCCACCTTGTTTCAATTGGCTCTGAGTCAGCTTGTGGCTTGAATCCTGATTTTGAGGACGGGTCTGTTTTACTTCTAAACTGAGTTTGTACGGCTCATAAATTTGAAGTTCATGTTTTGTCATATGCTATGGCCAAACTAATATGCTTAAATAAATCTCTACATTTGTGTAGAAAAAGGGTAAAATTTACACACGACACTCGGACAAACCTAGCTCTTTTCCAGTCTTTCTCAGCATCAGATTATGTTGCTGCTCAATGTCTGAGGTATAACGAACTCTTGGGAATATGTTCCATGTGCATTTGTTGTATCTGTTTCATTGGGAGTCTTTTGTTATCTGAATTATTTTCTGTTAGTAGGCTTGTCACAGATCCTTTTATATGATAACATGTGCCAGTCCTAACCTTGTTGAACTCCGGTAGCGAGATTTATTCAACATGTTCTTTTTTTTTTTTTTTTTCAGTTATTATCAAATTTGGTCCAGTTCTAGCAGCTATTCATATATGATTGAACAAGAGCTAGATTAATTGTATATTTAATGAAATTAGGCCAGGTCTTGTATCATCAAATCTCAAATGTACTTTTCTTTTCAGCCTTAGAAAACACAAACTGTGGTAGTTATAGGCAGGTTGTCCTTCTTCTTCCTTGCCCGTTGGACTTCTCTCAAGTACTGATCTGTATGGCTTTATTTCCATGCAAGAAATCACACCATATACTGAGCCAGTCAACCATCCCACTACTTTGGCATCATATTGTCTTCAACTTTATGTTCTTCAAAACATTCTACTGAGTTATTTAATAAATCAAATGTGTTGAGAACATTTATGTATTGCTCTAATTTTTCTGATTAATCATTCCGATAATCACAAATTAGGTCGTATAAGCCCTGCTTTTAATTGGCATTTCTAACTCCTAATTTCATCTGTTATATTATAGGAGAAGGCAAATGTACTACCATACGGAAATCTTCAAAAAGGTGGATGTTATTGTCACTCCTACCACCGGGTATGATTATTTAATGATCTAGGCAATTGCTTTCTCGTTCTCATTCATAACATTCTACTGTGAGAATATATTCATCTCTCCACTTGTGGTACATGTGGTGTGTGTGTTTCTGGGTACGTTGTTGGTTATAGTGGAGTGCGAAATATTGATTATCCAATTGAGATTCCCACTCCTGTTGTATCATAAACGTCTGCAAAATATGTGGCATGAATAAGAAATAAAATTGCAGTGTTTAGTGATTTTCACTTTCTTAAAGGGACACCTTTTCAATTTGATGAAAACGGAGTCCTGAGTAGTTTTTAGTGATTATGTGAAATATGTTCTGGATTGATTTCATCTTGGAATTTCCCCCTTCATTTTTTAAATGCAAAATCCCAATGATATATTTGTAAAAATACTATTCCTTGAAGTAATAATACTGAATCAAACCTCGAGGGGTTTTGTAATTTTAAAATCATTCTGGTAATTTTTATGATTATCCCTCTCTTTATTGATTTTCTCTTGCTCATCTGAATTCTTTCATCAGGATGACAGCGCCTGTCATACCCCCAGCTTCACTAAGTTCAGGGGAAACAAATTTTCAAGTTACAGGTAAGCTACTTTTCTTTTCTTTTGCCCCCCTTTTTTCCTCTACCTTCGTACATTTTCCTCTTTCTTTTACAATCGAACTGTCTACCATTTTTGGGAAACAAAGAAAAATGCTTGCAGTGAGAAAGGAACTCCTTGCCATAAACCAGCAGAATTCAAATGATTTATCTAGCCTTACTGTAGCTTTTTTCATTTATGTATGTGTTATTATTTTACTTCCGTAGAACAAATCTATTTATCTTCT